AGTGGTTAAGAATCCACCTGCCAATGCAGGGGACACGGGTTCGATCCCTGGTCTGGGAAGATCCCACATGCCGCGGAGCAACTAAGCCCGTGCGCCACAACTATTGAGCCTGCACTCTAGAGCCCGCGAGCCACAACTACGGAGCCAGTGAGCCACAACTACTGAGCCCACGAGCCACAACTACTGAAGCCCATATGCTAGAGCCCGTGCTCCGCAACAAGAGAAGCCACCGCAAGGAGAAGTGCGCGCACCGCAATGAAGAGCAGCCCCCGCTCGCCGCAACTAGAGAAAGCCCGCGCGCAGCAACAAAGACCCAACGCAGCCAAAAATTAATTAATTAATTATTTTAAAAAGGAAAAAAAAAAAATGGGATCTAAGCATGAAACCTCAAAGTGGCCTACCCAGTGGATCTGAATGCACTGAGTATTAAGGCAGATAAATTCAACTGCAAGTAGATAAGAAATGCATAGTGAATATTCTGCTTGTCCCTTTCCATCACATTTTTTAAATGTTATAAGGAATATTCCTTATTGGGCATGCAAAATCCCCACTGATGGGGATTATTACATGTTGTATTTGGCATTTCTGACATCTAAAGGAATACTTAAATCAAACTGAACCTAGATACAGGGTTCAGCAATATTCAGGAAGAAAAACTATTCAAATCCTTCAGGGGAAATAAAGGTTTCCAACCAAATTCTGATCACAGCTAAGGAATTAAAGCTGACTTAAAAGCTCTAGTGCAGATCAAATCAGAAGCGTTCCTCGTGCTAGCCACCAAATGAATGGTTCACAGGATGGGAGCAGCCACATAAATCCCACACCTTAAGATGTAAACAGGAGGGAATGCCACAGTGGTACAAGGCATGTTTGGTAAGGGAGCTGACAAGTCTTTGGAAGCTACTTATTTTCTTTTTGGCAGTTGATGAGAACCCACATTAATGCATGAGACTAAGAAACATGGATGTGTATTGCTGTCTAAAGTAAAATTTTTGTCTTAGTGGTTGCTTACCTGATCTTGCAAAAGTATTTTATATTTTTACTTCCTCAAATTATAATACTAGGAAGGCCCTAAAAATGACCAACTCAAACCCCGTAATTTTAGAAATAAGGAAACAAAGGTCTACAAGGGCAAATGATTTGCCCAAGGTCATACTGGTGATCAGAGGCAGAGTCTGAACTCAAACTCAGTTCTCCAGTCTCCCCAACTTAGAATTCTTTGCACTAGATGAAGAATTTTCACATCCTAACATGCCCTATTAGAGTCTGGTCCTATACACACACACACACACACACACACACACACACACACACACACAGACATACACATATGTGTGTGTGTGTGTATACACCACATAGCTACACACTTACTTTTGCAGCACTAGAAAAACTAGGGCTGTTCAGAAACATACTAAAAAAGTATCAGTTAATTGAAAAGACTAGTTCTGTGATAAGGCATTCATGTTTTCTGAATGACCCACTAAAACACCAAATCCCCATGTCTATGTTTATATTTATCTTAATATGAAGCATAATGGTTAAGACCCTGGGCTGTGGAGTAAGAGACCAGCCTGTAATCCCCCAATTCCAGCTCTGACATTTAATTAGTCATGTAACCATGGACAAATTTGCTTAACCTTTTTAAACTTCAGTTTCCTCAACTATAAAACTGAAAAAACACAACTGACTTGTGGTACTTGTGAGGATTCAACAGATGATGGCTGTAAAGAGCTCTGCCCAGGTCCTAAGACTTACTCAGTAACTTAGCTATTATTATCATTACCACTGCCTACTAATCTCTGTGCTGTCTACAAAAGTGCCCCAACAAAAGTTTTCTGTATCTCTCTCTCTCTCCCTCTCTCTCTCTCTCCCTCTCTCTCACATTCACACACACACAATCCCAATTATATAGTATCTGTTCTTTTGAACACAGAATACAGCAGCCTAAGAACCCTATTCAAGAAAAGTCTTTTTGCTTTTCTTTTTTGGAAATCAAACTCTTACCCCAAATTAATTTTTAAATTCTACAATGTTCAGTGCCAATAATGAGAATTTAGAATTTAAAAACACAAATTGTTTTCTGGTTCTCACACTTTTCCATTCCTTTAAACAAGATAAGTTTGGTTGCCTAAATTCTGCAAAGAGGAAATGCAATTGACTCAGAAAGAAAATGAATCCCCCTGCTTCCCACTGAGTACCCTTTTGGTGTTCAGACACAAAGGACACTATCTCATTTATGGTGACAGCGAGAGTGAATTATTCCCAAGATTTACTGTGCATTTATGTTTTAACTCTATTAGAATCTGAAAATAACACAACTATAAAAAGCCCCCTTTCCATGTATATAATCATGCCTCAAATAAAGTATTCCACCTTCCCCACATTCCTTAAAATGCTGAGTTTACCAAAAGTGTAGTATACTAGCAGGAGAGTACTATTAATACTTAAAATCAAAGAAATGACCTTTCAAGCTGTTTTATTTCCTAAAACAATAATTTAAGCAGCTAACTCCTCTGGCCTAAATTCCATTACTAATTATTCATGTCTATGATGCTCACTGGACAACTGAAAGGACACATTTAGATACCTTCATTTTAAGAGCCAAATACATCTAAATGAAATTTATTTCATTTTATTGTAAATCTCAGTATTCTCTTTGAAGGTGTTATTGTCTGGGTTCCTAGAGTTCTCTGAAATTCCAGTTGCAGAATATATAATTTCATTTGAAAGTAAATCAATACTAGAAACAAATTATTTGATCATCTTTTTATAAAAGATTAAACAGCCACAAATTTTATTTTACCAGGACTAAAATGCATTAAATTACATTTCACTGACATAAGATCAAAAGAGCTTCATAAATACAATGCTTCATTTTACCAGAGTGAGGTTAATAAGAAGCCGAAAAACATTCCCTCTGGAGCACAAAAACTGTTTTAAGTAATTTTAAAACTCTCTCGACATTTCATCCATTTTTTAAAAAACAGTTCTTCCTATATACAAAATCATTAGAGGTTACTGGAAAACAAGCCCAAAGAATTATAAACAAAAAGTTAATTTTTCCAAAATGCAATGCTACCTACTTTTTGGTTATCATGAATGACAAAGAAATGTTCATATATTATACATTCAGCTAATTTTAATTGTATAATTTAATCTTCTAAAATTATTCTTAGCCTAAATTAAAACTTGACCATGAGATATAAAATGTAGTCAAAAGTACCTCTTGCTAATAAACAATATTATAGTTTTTCATAAAATGTAAATTCAAAGTTAATAAAATTTGTATGTTTTATTAGCTTAAATTGGTAATTTATGAAAATAGATCTGGTTTTTCTCAGAGAGATTAGAAAGAAATTAAGATCACCAGAATTTTATAAAGAAGATGACAGACTGGTCAAATGCATTACAATGTCTAATCTCATGGGATCAGGGATTTTATGAATATGCCCCAAACTGCATAATATTGGGGGACAGGGAGATGGTGTAAGTCCTTTAAAAAATATTGTATGGGAAGTTAACAAGGATAACTTTTTAAATATGTACGTTATTACAGAGTAATACTTCAATGAGAAATATAATTAAACAACAGAGTCAACAACATCTCCAGAAGCTGATTTCTCAAGTGTCACCAGACTATCCATTCTGCTAAAGAGTACTTTTAAAGACATGCAGCACCCACAGTATCAAGTTTTCAAATCCCTACCTTTTGCATATACCAGTACTGCTTTACTGCTGCATATAAAAGCACTGAAATGCACATTCCAAATTAATGAGAATTCCTATCTTCTTCCTCTTAGAGTCCATTTTAAATTATTTTAGAAAGATATCTCAGTAAATCTAAGAAAAAATGTTGAATAGGTAGATCCTTCCTTCACCAATATTTAGAATACTAAAGTATTTATAAATATGGCTTCCCCCCAACCCAGGTAAATTCAGCTTTATGAATGGTTTCATTTTTTTAGTGCTAATATAGTTCTGAACATAACCTCCTGTGTGATTTGGGGGGAAAAAAGCAATTATCTTAAACGTTAAACAGCAGCTAACCAAACTAACAGCGATGTTCAAGTAAACCTACTTTGTTTATAATAAAATCTAAAGATTATATAACAAGCTTTGACGTTCTCTTTCCAGCAGTTTCCTACAGTGTCAAAGGCGACAAAGACAACATCCGTTTTTAGAAGAGGAAAACAGGAGTTAATAAATTATATTCTCTCAACTAAGAAATGCCTTCTCTTTTGTCAATATCACAAGCTATTCACCTAGTGACAAAGGAAAAATGAACACTTCACCTGCCGGTTTCCGAAACTAAATTGGGAGCGTTACCAGTCACAGACTTAATATTTCTCGGGAAGAATATCTGAAGCAAAGAGATTACTGAAAGTTCATTGCCAGCTGCTACATCTGGGGGGAACGGCCTGAACAAGACTCCCCTATTTGTCATCAGCCTTTTTCCTCACCACCCACCCTGCACCAAACCCCCATTGTTCTAGGTAAAACTCACAGCTAATGATATCGAAAGAGTAACTACTACGTTTCTGCGGCAGGTGATCACCAAAAGGAACTCTTCAGAACCACACTGACTTGCTGATTTCTTTCCCCAAAATAAAATCCGAATTTGATCGTAAATCAATCACAAACTGGTGGGGGAAAAGGATCTCAGCTTCCCTTCCAGACTGATGGATGTCAGTCCAGAGGCAGTTGAGGAAAGCCCCAGAAGCTTCCCATAATAAATCGACCCCCCTTAAAGATCATTTAAACTGACGTTTTTTCATAAGGAAATTTTTTAAAAATCTATACCGAAACCCCTGAAAAAAAAGTACACAGCTCCCTTGCCCGACGAGCGGCGCCAGGAGAGACAGAGGCAGCGGCTCGCCGGGTCTCGTGCGGGCCCGGCCCCCTCGGCACCAGCTCCTCCCCGAGCCCGGCCGGCCGGACCCAGGCCGGAGGGAGGCTGCCCACCTGCCCGGCGCCGCCGCCCGCCCGACGCCGACACTCACCCATCCTTCCGCTTGGCTTTGTAGACGTGACCATAAGTGCCTCGGCCAACTTTGCAGCCCTCGTATTCAAACAGGTCCTCGACCCGCTCCCGCTCGCTGCTCAGCTTCACTTTAAAGTCATAGTCCATTGTCACGGCCTGCGAGGCCGGGGAGCGGGGTCGCGGCGCCGCGGGGCGGGGGTGGGGACCGGGGAGGCTCCGGCAGCCGCGGCCCCCGGGAACCCGCCCGCTCTACGCCCGGCGGCCGCAACGCCGGCCCGGCCGCGGCGGCAGGAGGAGGCCCCGCGAGGGCGCCGGGGACATCCAGGGGGGCGGTGGGGCGGGGGCCGGCCGGGGGGGACGGCGCGGTCCCCGGGCGCAGAAGGGTGAGGGACGAGGGCTGGGGGCGGGGAGCGCGGTCGCTGCCCTTGTCCCCGCGGGCTCCGGGGCGCCGGACCCTGCGCTCCGGCCGCGCGCTCGGCCCCCGCGGCGGGCAGCGGGACGGCGCGGCGGACTGCCCCTCGGGCGCTCGCGCCTCGCCGCGCTCACACACGTTCACACTCACTCACTCACACGCTCGCTCGCTCGCTCTCCCATCCACTCAGACAGAAAGGCAGCGCCGCACAACAGCCGGTACCTCCTCAGAGAGCGGAGGGAGGGGACTCGCGGAAAACGGCCGCGCTGTCGCAAAAACGTCGCGAAGCCCCGGGCTGCTCGGCCCTCCCTGCGGCCCGCGCCGCGCCGGCCGGCCGGCCTCCCCCACCGGGCCCCGCTCCCCGAGGGCTGCGCGGACAGAGCGCGGTAGCCGGTGCCCAGAGCGGCCGCCACACGCACCACGTGGGGCGTCCCGGCGGCGGCTGGGGCCCCAGACTACAACGCCCAGAATGCACGCGCCGCTGCCGTGGCCGGCCCCCCTACGGCTCCGCCCCCCGCGGGGGGGGTGTGGTAGCGTTGCATGATGGGATTCGTAGTCCAAGGGGAGGTGAGTCGTTTCAATCTCTAGGGGAAAAAAAAATTTTTTTTTTTTACAGCGATGTCTTTAGAGTCTGATTTGGGCTAGAAACTTAACCAAAGAAATTCAAGTGTGAGGGAGGCTAGTTTGTATTAGAACCACATTTTGCGCCACTTCCGAACTCCAGAGTTTAAAGGACATTATCGTTATCGAAAAAAGTCGAAGTATTGGTCAACTCACAGACTATTATTTGGTGTATTCTTGTCGTTCACAGTCTGATAAGGGCTGCACAAAGATAGCAATGTGTTGACACACATTACAAACATCAGTAAAAGTGAGTCAGCGAGGTGTGGCCACGCTGCTCCGGTAGAGCACCAGTCTTGTGACAGACGACCATCCCAATGCTCCCCATCCTTTCAGAGGGGACGTTATTTTGAGTATGACCTCTGCACCACTGCCCATACGCGCAGCAATTTTTAGCCATGATTACAGCAATTGATCTAAATCCATGGAAACCGTTGATAATTTTAAGGTAGGAAAGGTGTCAGCTGGAGGAGTCCTGATATCTTGATAATAATCCCTCATGTTGTTTTATCCCCCTTATTTAGACGTCTGTTTTTCATTTTTTTATTTTATATTAATTTTATATTTATTTTACTTTTCCCAATTGCTATCGTTTCCACGAAAGTTCCCCAGCTCCCAAAGGACATATAATCTCTCCCATTTTTAACCTCCATCACACATTTTTTTCATTTTTCCTGTGGTACTCATCAAATTCTGTTTTGTCTTTTATTTCCTCTCCCTTGCTCGATTATAAATTCCTATAGGAAGTAATATTTGCATCTTCCATACACCTAGTATCATGGCTTGATTTTGGTGCACAGTAAACATTTGTTGAATTAATGAGTAAGGATGTTTGTGTCCAAAATATCTATGTACAAATGATGACCATGATACCATTTTATGAAAAATCCTCAGAAGGGCTCTTATACAGATTTCCCTGGAGAAAATAGTGACTTCACCACTGGTTTAAACGAAGTTGTTTTTCCTAGTACGTCAAATACTGTTTAGTGTCTAAGCACACTGACCGGTTAGGTGGGCCTGGGTTTGAATCTTGATGTGCCATTTATTAGCAGTGTGTCCCTGGACCCTCAATTCCTTTCTTTGCAAAATGGAGATATAAAAGACCTCAGCTTAGGGTAAGTGCACCAGAAAATTCAGCTTTCATGAATGGGGCATTATATGTTTCCAGTCAGTGATGTCAGTTGGGTGATTCTCTAGCGGGACTGCTCCTTTGCATAATTACAGAATTCAATTCTTTTTCCTAAATATGATTTTAGAATAGACTTCCTGAAACATATATATTTTGTATTTCTTCAGTGCTGTCTTTTTGTCCAAGTATTTACTCATAGATCTTGAGAAACCAAACCACCACGCTAAAGAAAAGGTTGTGAAGAAACATGAGACTGGGCTTGCCCCACCTCACCCCTGCACCTGTCTCCCACAGCCCCTGCACACGATATTCCTGAACCCTGAAGGTCTCTGCCTTCTTAAACTGTACTTTTGACTACTGCTTTGACTCTGTCCAACCTGTGGATGAAGATAAGACCTTCCCATAAAGAAACGGAGTATTTTTTAAAAATAAAAATTGTAAGGATTTAAGAGATACGACGTGATGTTTTGATACACATATACATAGTGAAATGATTACTATAGTCAAGCTAACTAACCGTGTTCTTACTATGAGTAATCCCGGGACAGGAAAGGACGCCAGCCTAGGACCAGGGAAGAGAATGGCTTGCTTTGCTCTCTGCAGCTATGGTGTGAGTTAGGGGTCTGGACTCCAGGTCGGGGGCACACGGTGGTGTGAGGTAAGCTGGCCCCTTAAAGGAGCATCACGATGGGGAGCAAAGGAAGAGAGAGCCACGAGGGCCCCTTAAAGGGGAGCTTGGCTAATGTGTTAGGAGCAGTACTTTCTAATATCCAGCTTGAGGTTTTTCTTTTCTGTGTGGTAATTCCCTTCTATTATCCCCGAGATATCAGCTGGGTCTTACCTGTGGAACCCGTGTCCAGGCTTGGAGGAATGGAAAGGGCAGCAGCCAGAGACTCAATTACGGGAGATAAGAAGTAGCCTGCAGAGCCAAAGCAATGAGCTGGGAAGCCCTTGGGGCACATGCTTGTATTCCAAAAACTTGAGGGAGGGAACCTGGTAGATCCGGGGTGGGGGGGGGGGCCCAACCCCCAGGCCATGGACTGGAACCCCGTGGCCTGTTAGGAACCAGGGCAGGTGAGCGAAGCTTCATCTGTATTTACAGCCGCTCCCCATCGCTCGCATTACCACCTGAGCTCCGCCTCCTGTCAGATCAGCAGTGGCTTTAGATTCTCTTAGGAGCGCGAACCCTACTGTGAACTGCGCATGCGAGGGACCTAGGTTGCACGCTCCTTATGAGAATTGAACGCCTGATGATCTGAGGTGGAGCTGAGGCGGTGAGGCTAGCGCTGGGGAGCGGCTGCGAATACAGATTCTCATTAGCAGAGAGGTTTGACTGCACAGACACCATAATAAATCAATTGCTTGCAGACTCATATCCGTGAGTGGCAAGTGACAAATAAGCTGCATCTTACGGAGTAGACTGGACATAAGCAACACATTTCAGGTGTCACTGTCTCCTGTCACCCCCAGATGGGACCATCTAGTTGCAGGAAGACAAGCTCAGGGCTCCCACTGATTCTGCATTATGGTGAGTTGTATAATTATTTCATTATATATTACAATGTAATAATAACAGAAATAAAGTGCACAACTCACCATAATGCACTTGAATCATCCCGAAACCATCCCCACCCCCGTCCGTGGAAAACTTGTCTTCCATGAAACCGGTCTCTGGTGCCAGAAAGGTTGGGGACCCTGCTATAGATTAAAGAATCAGGTTCAGACTTAACTGTTATTTGACTGAATTGAACACATCAGGGACCTAAGAGCTGCTGTTTCAGTTTGATTTTCAGCCTCCGGTCATCCTGATATCATGTCTCTTTGCTCCACGATGACCTCCAGTGAACTGTAGAGTCTGTGACCCTCGTTGGTCCATGTCCCAGACAATGCGCAAATCATGCTCATGCTGCTTTTCTTAAAATGTGGTTCTTTTCATTCTAAATTTAACATCTCCAGTCTAAACATGCCTCTCAGACACCAGCCCCACATTTCCACTGCCTCCTGTTCAGCCTCAGGGGATAATGTGCTGTCATCGCAAACGTAAAATTTCTGAAACTGAACATACCATAGCGTGTCCTGAACCTCCCAATTCCCCAGCACAGTGATGCCAGTAGACAGACATTCTGTTGTTTTCCTGCCAACCCTACGAGCTCAGGCCTTCATTAGCTGCTCAGTGTGCTTCGTGCTCATGCCAAGTATACCTTTGTCCAATCCTCAAAGGCTGGATGCTTCCTCATACCATCTCTGACCTTTGCAGGCCTACCCATCCTCCAAGATACAGCTCAAATGCCTAAGTTAGTCATGCAGCCTTTCCTGGTTTTTACAACTGAATATGAACTTTCTCTACCGTGAACTCCTACCCCAGCCCTGGCACCATTGCACTTTATTTGTAACTCACATAGAAACATCACAGCTACCTTGTATTGTAGCCATTTATTTTATGTACTTAAAAAAAGTATCTTTCCTTTAATAAACACCTTAATGACTGAGTCTGTAACTTATCTTGTGTCTCCCCACAGTGCCCAGGACATAGTTCGCATAATTATTTAGAATTAGAATGTGTTTCACTGGCTTGGTTTCTATAAAGATTGAAATGGACCTTAATAATAATAAAAGGGGGGCAGTCATTTTAAACCATTTGGCATTTTTCCACAGTCCTACCTCTGAACACATACTTTTTTGCAGCTTGCAGAAGGATTTGGTGCTTTGTGATATATGAACGTTAAGAGTCCTACTGGGCCTTCTCAGTGTTGATCACTTGCTGTCTCTACAACTTTTAATTCCGTTTTCTCACTCAGTATCAAAGTGCGATTTAAACGGAAAATATCTACTCTCCCATCCTGCAGGTAGAATACTCACCTTTATTATCGAAAAGCACATATTAAGCATCTATATTCGAGTGTAATGTTAGACACAAGAAATAACAAGTTAAATCAATCAACGCTCTAGTCTTCTATAATTTTTCAAAGAAAATACTGATGCAAAAAGTTTCTCAACTAA